TCAGCTCCTCTTTGGAGAGGGCCGTTCTTCCCTAGGACTCTGTATGAGGGGGGCTTGCAGATTTGAGCGTGATTAATGTGAAAATCCTCCATAATTCGAGAGCTGCTCTGGCATTGGATTCCTTTCCTACTACAATTAACAGTGCCTAAGATGGTTATGAGCTTTGCATTCCAATAGACTGAAGTTTATCAGTTGAACAACTGAGCCAAGGATGAAGACAATGCACATTTGAAATCTCTGTGAGTGTTTCTCTCTGAGATAGCTCAGCAAGAGTCTGAACTGGCTATATCCGGGGATTGAACCGGAGTTTTCCATCTATCTACAGAACAACTTCTGGGTATCCGGCTGCCGGGCAGGCCTGCTCACAGTGCCCTGCCAGCGTGGTTACACCCTGAGATGGAGGGACCAGCGGAGGGTGAGGAAGTGCTTTGCTCTCCATGCCCATCCCATGCTTGTTGGTTACCTGAGACTGGCTATGGGTGCCTAGGATTGTTCAGGGGCTTGGGGATCTACAGAGGAAATCCTCTGCCTATGGAGGCAAAGCCATGTTGCCTTCACCCCACCCACCCAACACTCTCAGCCTCAATCCATTACATCCTCTGACTGCCAAGAGAAGCCTTTGTGTGCTTTTGGGCCCAAACCCATGCCAAATGACAACTGGCCCACCCAACATTCTAGTAAAGCACAGGGCACAGAAAGACATGCTTTAGACAATTCCTCATCTAGTATATCACTTATCAAAGGAAATTTTTCTGGAAATCAATACATGAATATTTTAATGGCTTTACTTAAGACCCTCAACTCAAAACTGACTTCTTAGAGTTGCATTATCCCCGAGACAAATCTGAGAGAAGACATTTGTGGCTGTTTGTCCCATCTTTTCAGAGTTCCCCAAAGGGTAGCGTGGTTTTCTAGATTTTTCTTTGGAATGGGTTCTTAGGCATACTTAGCTGCCACTTTCTGACCTCTGCTGCGAAAATAAAATGATAGATAAGAAAGTATTTTAAACATTTAAAAAGGTTATGAACTCCATAATATGTATTTTATACTATTTTTCTATTGAGTTGTACTAATGTTGAATATTATTTAACAAGTAAATTTTGGAAGGATTCCCAACCCCTACTGACTCTACTGCTGGAAAGATAAATTATTTACAAGTCCTGTTACTTTTCCTCATTTTCATACTGAGATCTGGAACAAACAGTTATTAACAGTACCTTAGTCCAATGCCTGCCACATGATGAACTTTATGTAAATATAAACTTTTCCTTTTCTTACAGGCCAAGGGGTTATTTTCCCTAAGTATGTTTCTCAAGCCATTTGTCATGTGTACTCACACTATACTCATGGCTGGTATATATTGGGGGGCTACAAAAGGAAGTCATTGTCTCTCATTAGATGGCCCTCTCTGTCTATATCCCTGGCTGTGACCTCAGCCACCCTGATGGGGTTCGTGACCTGTGTCTATTGTAAGACAACTCATCCACCTCTATCTCTAGGGAGTAGCTCCAGCTACCTCCCCAAATTTCTGTCCTATTTGAGGCCCATCTGCGATCACTTTGGTGCTTGACTTAGGAGACTGAACCAGGAGCATAAAGTCCGGGCGGCCTTTCCGCCCTCCCCTACACCTCAGTATGTTCTGATCACAATCAGACTACATTTCATTGTCTGCATCCTGCTTATGGCAGACAGAGGAGGTCCAGAAGTGGCTGGGATGTGCACACCTGCCTTCCTTCCCCAAGCTTGGCCCCAGCCACCCTAAGGTCAAGACCACCATATTCACCCCCATTCCATCCAATGCTGCAATTTGAGCTGCCATCTGTACTTTTCCTCCTGCTTTGGCTCTTAGCAGACTCCCAGCCTTCTGTCACATCTGTAATTTGAAGAAGGGAAGGAAGGTTTGGTTTTCAGAGTTTCTCAAACATTTTTGTGCATCATAATCACCTGTAAGTCTTTTTGAAGCCCAGTCCATTGGCCCCACCCCAGAGTTCCCCTTTCAATAGGCAGAACTAGATTCCTGGGCTTTGACGTCACACTCAGAAGAGGCTCATGTTTCATTTAATGATATTCTGTGGCCATCTTGAAATTCCTCATTTCTTTTTAGCATGGTGCCTTACATGCTTATTTTGTACTGGGCCCAGCAAAGGAATTAGCCTAGCCTCTCAGTGAGTCCAGAATGGAACTCTGGAATTTACATTTCCAACAAGTTCTCAAGTGATGCTGCCATGCCATGGGGAATACACTTTCTTATTTCACAACCATTAAGTGAGATTTTACAGAATCAACTCAGAGAAAACAGGAAAGGGACAAAGACCTTCTACCTCCTGCTCCCTTCCTCTACTTGATGGGATCCAATAAGAACTATGAAAGCGGAGGAGAAATTGGTGAAGCAACTTCATTTACTTGTGTGATTGTTATTATTGTCCTTGTTTTGTTTGCACCAAACTAAATGCTCTCATGAGGCATATTGCTTTTTCTGCACCCTTTCCCAACAGTTAATGTAAGTATAATACCCCTGTCTGTACATCAGTCCAGAATCACTTTTCTGAAAGAAATGTAAAACTTGGAAGTGGAACATTATCATAGTAAATAATTTGAGGAGTTGAGAGAAGGAAAACAATAGAATGATAAAATGAAGCTTCAATGCAAAACGCACAAAAGACAAGCAAGGTGCCATATACCAACGCAAATGGAGCTCCATTTCCTCTGATCCTCTGAGCAGTCAGTGCAGACAGAAATACATTATTTATGATATGACTCATGGTTCCATAGGGCAAAAATAACCTGCTCTCTCAGTTGAATCCCAAATGTCCCTAGTACTTTGAGAAATTTTTTCCATGAGGTTATCTTTCTCTATGCTTACAACACCTGATGGAATCTACAACTTACAGTATTTTGTTAATTGTACTCTCTTCTGTATGTTTGATAAGACAGATGAAACATAATTGTTGTGGTCTCTGGGAGCTACAGTACGACCTTTCCGAAACTTCCCTCCCAATAGGAGGAGGCAAAACCAAAATTCTCGTAGCCTGTTGGTTATTTTGTTTGGCCTCATGAATAGACTTGACTTTTTAAAAACATCCCATAAAATAAGGCTTTATGTACTTACTATTGTTGGTATAAAACTATGACTTCTTCTTCTTGAGTAGACACAAGACATTTTCATTAATGAATGGAAAAGTATCACCTCAGCAGGGAAAACAAACAAAATTAGCCCACTAGGATAATGCCTAGCCCTGTTCCAAACACAGAGCCCTGATTCTAAGCTGAGCTCCGTGTCAGTTCAGCACATTCGATTTTTCTCAATTTTTTAAACTTTTCTCAACCAGAGTCATGCCCCATGACAACAGATAAGTGTCCATTTTGTTTTGTTTTCTGTTCCCTCAGCTAGAAAAAGGGAGATTTTTCCCCTTTTAATTAGATATGGTGGTTAAATATCCCACCACCACTTTCCAGCAGAAATAGTTAGGTTCCTTTGATTTTTTTTTCCTTCAAATTCATTGGCATCCTAAAGATCTGGAAAATCATCCTCATGGTTGTCCCCTGGCTCCTGCCCATAAGATTGTCTGATATCAGTTCAAAGAGGAGGCAAGGAAAGAATTGATTTGTTCCATGTGGGTAGGAAATGTCCTGGGCAAAAGTGCTGGAGCCCTGGCTGCCCCAGTGACAGGCATGGCATGTCACAGACTCTGGGATATTTTCCCCTGGGTACTAACCCTTGCTGGAAGCCTGAGATAAAGCTAGGTCCCCTGTGAGTGTGATGTCGCCTCCATTTTGCATGTACAAAACCATTTGGGTGGGAAAGGATTGCGCAGGACTGTGTTTATCTTCTTAAAGCCACAGAGATTTTTGTTTTGAAATATTCAACCAAAAGAAAGCAAAGAGTAGTAAAGAAAAGTGAAGTGTGGGAGGCGAAGGAGCAGGTTCTGCGACTTCTAATCAACCTCTGATCATTTCCCTTTAAGATGTTGTCAGGGCTACTGTTTTGAGGAAGGTAGAAAATAAAGGTGTTTCCAGGTAAGACTTTGCTCAGTCTTTTCATGTTCCCAAAGTTCTTGTTTCCCTGTTCCACTTACATTTTCCCTGTTATATCTGTTGCTGTGACACCTCCCTCACTTGTGTATGTGCTAATAGTATGCTCATTAGCACGTCATCTATCAATTTGTAAAAGCATCAGTGCCTTGCAGAATCATTTTAAGTGTATTTAAATACAGTGGACTCTTAATGATAATCATATATTTATCTTTTTGGCCACATGAAACCTTCCCTCCGGTAGCATCACCATCATCATCATCATCGTGTGAAAGAGGAATTTATTTACAGTAAGTATTCAGAAGAAGAAAAGCTACCCATACAGCCATAATAAACTTCCAATAAAGTGTCAACCATAGTTTTATCTGAACTATTTTGAAATGAGGATATTGAAAAAGATGAGTTAGCTACCAGTTTATTTTTACTCACTAGATAGCGACCATCAAGCTTTAATTTTTAAATGAAATCAGGACTCAATCCAGGAGGCACTTCAGCGAGGCACGTTGGCGAACACGAGGATCCATCTCTTTCATTTTCCATCCTTCCCTCCGCTGACACTTCCCGTTACATCTGTTTCGCGGCCCTCTGCTGGCTGCTTATCGGCGAATACAAGGATCCTCTTTACTCCATCCTGCGCCCTGCCCGGCATCTTTTTTCATTTGTTAGGTTTCACTGCCATCTGCTAGCCAAATATTGCTGTGGACGCCATTACTATTTCCTCTTCCCCCCTCCTTCTCTGAGTTGCCGTTTCTTGTTACATTTGTTGTGGTTTGCTGCCATCTAGCGGCCATTATGTGGAAACACGTTCGCCTAATTAATGCAGAGATGTTGAAACATTGCTCAAAAGGTCTTTTTGTTTCAGCCCCCATGCGTTCTCCTCCTGTCATTTGTGTAATGATCACATTATTTACATCTGATCACTCATTGTTTTACACGCTCACACACCTGCCATTGTCTCGTTGTGCCAGAAGCCCTGACATGCTACAGTCGGACGTTTCCTTTTCCATGGGAGGGAGGCATTCATCTACAGACTCCAACAAGGCCTCCAGTGGAGACATCTCCCCTTATGACAACAACTCCCCTGTGCTACCTGAACGTTCCCTGCTGGCTATGCAAGAGGACAGGGCTCCGGGGGGCTCAGAGATGCTTTACAAGGTGCCAGAGAAGTATATGTTGGTGGGCCACTTGCCGTCGTCAAAGTCAACGTCAAGAGAAAGTTCTCCTGGACCAAGGCTTGGAAAAGGTAATGGAAGCCTGGCTGGCCCTGGCCAAACCCAGTGACTCTCTGGCTGCATGTGGAGCCGTGTGGGGTGCTTTGAGGCTCCTCTCTGTTTGTCCCTTGTGCGATGTTTCTGTAACTCTCCATGAGCATTTGCCAAGCACCTGCTGAACACCGACTCTAGGAAGAGGAAGGGGTGGAGGCCCAGGTGATGTCTTGGAGGGTCCCTGCCGCCCCTATCCTGACTCCCAGACATCTAGGAAATGAGCGCATGCTCAGAGGAGCTACTCATTCCTACCTTCTCTCCCTGCCCTGGCATCCAAGGATTCTGTGTCCTGGCAGGTGGGTTAGGGGTTGCGTATTTGCTAGTCTAACGTGTCACCCAATTACTGTTGTTACTTTCCTAAAAAGGACAAGCAAAACCTACTGTGTAACAATGCGGTGTGTCAGAACCAGATGGGGTCAGTGTCCGATGACCAGAGAACAGGACTCAGAGTCAGAAACCTTCTCTACCATTTCCAACTTGCAGGATCTCAAGCGAGTGCCTGAGCTCAGTACCGCCCAGGCCCATTGCCACAGAAACTGGCCAACTCATGGGGTTAAATGAACCGATCCCGGAAAAGACCTTTAGGCAGCGCTTAGCATGCGAGGAGCACTGGGTGAGGAGGGCAAGGAAACGCTGGGTGTGTTTCCCGCCTCTCCTTCCACTGGTTGCCTCGTCTGTGCCATGATCCCCTAGGGATTCCCCAGGGAGGCGAGGAGACAATGTGTGGGAGCAGCCGGACCACAGAGGCACTCAGGAGACCTTTGCTTCTCTAAGTCACAGTTACGATCCCACCAAGGGGTTGTAAGGAGGAGGCAAGCAGCTGATGGAGGCACCCAGCGGGGCACCTTCCTCCATAGCTATTCATGCACACACCGAGGGGAGACTGATGAAGGAGGCAGGACCGCATCTGTGCGTGCCACTAGCAGCGTGCTCCTGAGTGCAGTTCAAAAGCTCTCGCTGCTGCTCCTGTCCCCATGTCAGTGTGGTTGGAGAGTGTGAGACTGTTGTCACCTTTTATGACTTTCCTCCTACTGATGTCAGAAACCACCACAAACGTGGTGGCTTAAAACCCACATTTACATTTTCTCTCGTACGGTTCTGGAGATAACAAGTCTCCAGTAGGCCTGCAAGGCTGCCTTCCCTTCCGGAAGCCCTGAGGAACTATTTCCTTGCCTTTTCTGTGTTCCAGAAGCTTACACATTCCTCATCGTGTTGCTCGTTCCTTCACCTTTCAAGGCAGCAACAGAGCAGCGTCTCCCCTCCCACCTGCCTCCAGGAAGGACCCTTATGTTTATATTAGGCCCAGCCAGGGTCCTGCAGCAAAATCGGCCCTCGCCAGCAACCAGAATTCAATTGCATTCGCAAAATCCTTTTTGATTCTAAGATAACATTTCTATAGGGTTTGGAGGCTAGGATACAGATGTCTTTGAGGACCCTTATGCATCTACTCCAACCATGATTTAGAAAGAGCTCTGTGGTAAATTCCGAATGGAATAAGCCTCCTGCAAAGGCAGGTCTTGAAGTGTATTCTGTACTGCAGTCTCAAAGACATTCGCACAGGAGAGACGTCATTAAAATAGTTTAGCTCATTTTGCCCTTAAAATTTCATTTTGTGTTATACATCTTTTTATTCTCTTTTTCCTAGATATGTCCGAGGAACCTTTCAATATCTGGGGAACTTGGCATTCAACATTAAAAAGTGGATCCAAAGACCCCGGAATGACAGGTGGAGTGTTACTTGAAACCTTCACTGCATTTGTTTTGAAAATTAATTTTCTTCAGCTTTTGCCTTGTTATGATAATCTTGACATGCTTGTCAAGTTATTATTTGGAAAATGCTGAAAATAGGGGTTGGGGAAGATAAACTGTCCCACGGATTTCTACCCCAGTATGACAATCTCGGACTCGATTTCATTCCATTTCCTTTCCTGCACCATAAATTGGTGACAAAACCGTTTTATTCAGTGTGACAGCTCAGCTGACCTGTCAGAGTCTAGGTATATGTATTTGGAGTGGCCACAGGAATTGTGCCAATAATTAAAAAGCGTCTGTCATTTCTTTTGCTAGGAAGTGGTGTGTGTGTGTGTGTGTGTGTGTGTTTGTGTGTGTGTGTGTGTGTGTGTGTAAGGAGCAGCAGCAGATCAGTGTGTACTGTGCTTCTTCAATTGTAGAAGTCCGCAGTGGGAAGACAGTAGCAGGACTCTAATCCCCAAGGGGAAACTAATGCCAGTTCTTGCCTTTCTGGCTCTCAGGTTCCTATGGCGACATCTTTGAAAGCAGCTCCCTCCGACCGGGGCCCTGTTCCCTTTCTCAAGGGAACCTGTCTCTCAATTGGCCCCGGTGGCAGAGGAGCCCGGCAGAGCTGGATGACGGCGGCCCTCAAGTCTTTCGCAGGACTCAGACGGCAGCTACCGTGGCACATTGCAGCGTGCACCTTCCGGTGTCGCGGGTCTGCAGCACCCCCCACATCCAGGGCAGTGGCTGCGGCGCGGGGGGGCGGCCGGCGGCCAGGTCCGAGCCGTACTTGACCCTCAGCAGCGCTGAGGACCCCGAGGGCGAGAGAGACGGGACGTGGCTGCCCAGCCGGGCCCAGCCCGCGTCCCAGAGACTTCGGGAGGGCGGCAGGGATGATCGCAGGCCCCCGCCTCCTTACCCGGGCTCCGGGAAGCCCTCGGAGCCGCCCTTGTGGCGGCTTCAGAGGCCTCGGGAAGGCTCAGGAACTGAGGGAGGCCCGCCGGCCGAGCGGGAGCCCCAGGCCGCGCCGAAAAAACTGAGCAGCCGCGCCTACGCCCTGGAGGGCAGCGAACAGAGCGGCCCGAACTTGGGGGAAGCCAGCTGGCTTGACTGGCAGCGAGAGCGGTGGCAGATCTGGGAGCTCCTGTCCACCGACAACCCCGACACCCTCCCGGAGACGCTGGTGTGAGCCCCCCACTGCAGCCCAGCAGAAGCCAGCCCCCTTGCAGATGCCCCCTTCGTCCAGCCGGCCACAGGCGCTTTTGGTCAACTGGACTCTTCGGCCCTTTTCTTCCTTCACACGTTAAAAAAGCACCACAAGAGAAACTGAGTCCACTTCCCGAGATAGAGCACTCATACCCTCGCCATTTATGATAGGGTCCCATTGCATAGCCAGCCTCCCAAACAAGTGACACTATCCCATCGAAAACCATCCACATTGACTCTGTGTAAGACAAAAGTCTTGCTTTCGTGTAGCTTGATTGTATCTTTGTGTCTTCACTTGTGACTATTATATATTCTGTAACAGATGCTGTATGATAATCGAAATGATATATTCACAGAGAGAAAAGAGGAACAATTTTTTTAAAAAGTCACTTCACTTATATTACACCATGAGATATATTAAGCAACGAAGTCCTATAGAGTGTTCGAGAATATGCACAAGCCAGTTTCTGTGCTTTTGCCATAGCTTTTTACCTGGGGACAGCTCTTCCTTCGATGCCTAAGAAAAACACTAAGAAAATGAAACAAGAGTAAGAGAAGCCATATTTTTATATAGTAGTGAGATACAGAAGTTATAATCACTGAATGCTTTTTCATATTGAGTAAGTTTTAAGGAAAATGTTGAATTTGATACATAGTGAGATATATTTTTAGAACATGTTTAGAAAGGATTCAGTTAATCAAAGGAGAGAAAGGCTGGGCCTAACGAAGAATTACTTCGTCCATCCCATTTTAGGTCAAATTCAATTTTATATAGACAATATATAATATATATTTATAGTGTATAACTTTTACGTATTTTTCAAACCAAACCACAAACTGGAATCCAACCATAAAGTGTTTAAGAATCTAAACAGACCATTCAAATTACAGAACATGGTTTTTTCTTTGGCTCCGTAATCAATATTAACCAAATTACATACAACTCTTTTCCGAAAAGTAAATCATATTTGGGGAGAAAAAAACTGCAGTTTTGTCCTTACATTGTGCCAAAGGCTGAAGAAACGTTTTCTTCGAAATTTTGTGTGTGTTGTGAAAGTGTTCCTGCCGTACTTCAGTAGTTTGAAGTTTTTCCGCTGCAAAACCACCTTTGACCAGCAGGTGGCAGTTTGCTTCAGTATTTCAGGTGTTTTGTTTCACTTCAGAATGAAAGTGTATTACAGAAAAACTGTGTTGTTTTTTTTGTGTTTTTATTTTTATAAAACGTGCTACTCTTAATTTTCGTGTTGGTGATGAAATTTTCAGTGGAGTTTCTTAAAGTTCTATCTTGTGCCATGATGAATAAAAAATTAAGCAAAAGCTTTGTTCCCTGACTTTAAATCTAAAGAATGAACTCACACCCTCTGCCAGACATGTTCACTATCCACAAATCCAAGTGTAATAAGCAATACCGACTTTATACATATCCACATATAGCTAACGAGCTAGTTTTAAAACATCAGACCCCTTGGAGATATCAACTCAGAAGCACCAAAGCATGCGTAATTATCCGTTGCAAGAAAAGGCTTATTTCCTGAATTGTCGAGGATAAGGTAGTTTTCTACATGACTGAAACTCGGGATTCCCACCAATTGGTCAGGGGTCACCATACACAATCCTTGAAAGTTGCATCTGTTCTCTAAGGCCTTGGATGCCTAATTTGCTTCAGCACCAAAATAATGAGACCTAGAAGTGGCCTGTCATTTTTCACCTTTGGGGACTGGATGAGCTGTCCTCAGGCTCTGGCTTTGGGTCCATCACTTGTGCTACTGGCTCACGCTGCCTTGTTCTGGCTGCCCACACTCAGTCAACAGTTGGGAACAGCCCCCCGAGCAAATGCTATTTGATTGTGGATTGCAGGTGGCTTTTCTGTACGGCTACTTTCACCTTAGTCCTGTGTTTTCTTGCTTGGAATTTGACCATGTCTGACCAATTCTTCCACTCCCTCCTGGACCGGACTGCCTGACAGATGTGACCCCCTTCCTGCCATGTCTTTGCTCTCATGGTCCTAGTTTTGTCTTTTTTTTTTTTTTTAACAAAACAAAACAAAAACCTTTCAGATCAAATGGCCATGAAGTTAATGTCAGTCAAAAAGGTAATGAAAGGTATGTCCATCTGTTGATAGTCAGGTATAAAAAGGCCATCCAGAAAACAGTTCAGAATATCCTTGGTATATATCTCAATATTCATTGTCACTTTCTCTTTGTACAGTTAAGCCCTGTGGCTGTATCTTTGGCTTAATAAGCAAAAACTTGATTCTTGGATGCCCTTATCATACTGTCTTTATCGTATGTCTTTATCATAAACTGTCTTTAGAATGCACATGAAATCCAAAGACCTGAGTGGAAATTGAGGTTATTGCTAGCACCATATCATATGTGATATAATATCTGACAAGAGCAAAAGATGAAACTCAAACTCTTTCGAGTTGGACAAAACCCCTTTTCCAGGCTGTTCATGTCAGTCATTCCTTGTGAGCAAAAAAGAGATCTTTCGAGTAAGAAAAAGCTGCAATGTGCCACAGATGTCTCCGTGCCTATGAATACTCAGTCACCGTTTTTGTGTTTCTGGCATATGTTTGTTGTGGGTTTTTACAGAAAAAAATCTCTAGCAATGGAGTGTGTGCAAATTGAGGAAATTTCTAAATAAACCCAGCTTGCTCCTTTTCTTATGCACATTTTAATACACATCTGCTTGGCAGAGAAAGAGCACTGAGATGACATACAAAGAGATGTCAGAACAAAGTCTGGGCCTGCCATACATATGTCAGTCTGATAAACAGACTGCAGGAGGCAGATTCTACTGACCTGAAAAGAAAGGAAATGACTGGAGTAGGGCCACACAGAGATGAAAACAGGACATCTTGACCAGGTAGAATTTTAAAACAAGACTAAATCAGCAGCAAACTGTTTTCATGGGGGAAAAAAAGAGAGAGAAGTTCAATAGAGGTTGTAGTTCTTGGGCAGAGTCAAGGTGACAGACGGCATCCTGGAGATACTGAACTGCAGGCTGTCGTCTTTGGGGTGCAGATCCGTGGCCTGGGGCAGCCCTCAATTCACCAAGGCACAGAGAGTCAGAAGATTTTCTAGATTCAATACAACCATATCTGTTCAGCCTAGGGCAGTGGTGGCGAACCCACGGCATGGCATGGACGTGTGTTTGTTATCTTTGAAAGCTCTAACAGGTGTGCCATCACTGGCCTCGGGCGATCAACTCATCCCAGTTTGCCTGGGAACATCCCAGGTTTAGTAATAAAAACTACCTGTCGCAGACACAGGCCCTGCTATTCCCTGGCAGGGCGAGAACTGGTGGGCTGAAGATACAGGGCACTTGACCTTGGCACTTCTAAAGCAGGGTCACCAAATAACATATGGGGCACCCAGTTCAATTTGAATGCCAGATCAACAGTGTTAGTATCAGTATGTCTCATGCCAAATCTGAGACATGTTCACATTATAAAAATGATGTATTGACCAATATATTGCATGAGACATACTTATTTTAAGAAGAAATTCTTTATCTGATATTCAAGTTGAACTGAACATCTATTTGCTAAATCTGGCGCCCCTAATCTCCAGCCTTGATAGCCTCCCTGTCCCCAAATGACCTGCTTGACACTCACTGATTGTGCACAGTGCCCCTACAGTCCTGGAGGACTGACTGCATGCCTCAACTATTCCAGTGAACCTGCCCCCCCCCCTTGGCCCAGGTGTCTCCCCTGCCCTCACCTGAAGCCTCGCCTAGGATCCCAGTCTTGGGCCTCTGGCACCCACCGCTTTGTCCGACCCCATCGTCTTATTCCCACCTTTGTCCCCTCCATTTCAGAGCACTGCAGCGGACCGGCATCTCTGTCCCTCCTCTCTCCTCCACAGCACCAGGCTCAGAGCTCCGAAGTGCGCGTCTTGTTCCAAAACCAGCGAGGCCCTCCTGTTCCTCTGGTCTACAGAGCAAAGCCCACACTCCACGGTGACAGAGCACACTCCACCATCTGGTCTCCTCTCTCTCCCCAACACAGCACCCTCGACTGTGGCCACGTGCAGAAAATTCCCCTGGCAGGTAAAAAACTCAATGTTGCATTTCCATTTTATGGGCTTCAAATCCCTTCCCTACTTTTCTTACTCAATTAGACGCTATTTTCTTGCAGAAATAGTTCCGATTCTTTCTTTTCCACAAACACAACGATTCACAGCTTCTTCTAGCCCTTTGCGCAGGATTGTGGCTGCGTTAACAGAATTTCTAGACATTGTTCTGTCTAAGGTTTTTATCTGGAGGTTGTTCCCACTCTGTTCCTGAGGGTGGGGACTATGTCTTTTGTTTTGTACCCTTGGACCAGGGAGAGACCTGACACCTCTTGGCACTTGATACAAATTTGCTACACATAAGCATGTAAATATGATCAAGCAACTTCTCGCGAAGTGAGTGGAGAAAAAGCACAAGACAGCCTCCCGGCAAACGAAGAGGTAGGGTTGTGCTTTCAAAAATAAAAAAGCTTTCAAAGAAAGGAGACAGTGTGAGGGGAGCTGATGCCAAGCAGAGTCACTGTCGCTCAGTCAGCGCTCACCTACCAGACACGCCACCCCAGCCCTGCAGCACGGGGGTGAAGTGGATGGCTTGTGGGGCGCTGCCTTTCCACTGCAAAGAATGCCGCTTTAACAGGAAATGGTACAGGAAGTATCTCTGCACCCTCTGGTGAGCGCTCCATAAACGCAGTATTTACTGACTGTACCAAAAACAATGAAGTTTCAAGGTGCGGGGTTCAAAGTCGGAAAGCACAAGGATGGACTCCTCTTCCCTCTGTTGAGCTGCTGGGTGACCTCTGGCAAGGTACTTTCCCTCCCTGTCTGTTTCCTCGGAATAGTCAGGGCATGGTAACGCTGAATTCCTAGGGCATTGTGACAAAATACCCGAGGCACAGCCACCACCTCGTAACACATACTCAACAGACAGCAGTCTCATCGGTGTCCCACGTGAGATCATTTTAGAAACAACATTTGGGAACCTCTGCTGTGAAATGCAGGTACTACCAGCTAACATTTATTAATGGCTTTGGTTCCGAGTCTGTTTTTCCCAGGTTACCTCATTTAACCCCTCATTTTCTAGAAGACACCATTGACTCAGGGAGGTCAGGTGAGTTGCCCAAGGCTGCTCAGCTGGAAAAGAGCAGAACCAGGATTTGGTCGCAAGCTATTCAATTGCGCCACTTGGTGTTTGGAAAGTGCCGTCAGGTGACAAAGCTCTGAAGTTGTGTATCAAAGCCCTTGGTCTCTCTCGCTCGCTCTCAAAGGACAGGGCTCAGTTGGAGAAGGGGAAGGGATTCTACCTTTGGGATGATCTTTGGCTCAGGGTTACTGATGCCCTCATGGAAGTAGGAAAAATGGGAGCTAAAATCAAAGATCCAAAGAGGAGAGAAGGAGTTGAATTGAATTGTAATTAATAAATATATCCATTTATATATTTATTAATTATAATACTTGGGCCAGGGATTTAGCTCAGTGGTTCCGGCACCTGCCTCGCAAGCACAAGGTCCCGAGTTCGATCCCTGGTAACCCCCCCCCCCCAAAATTACAATACTTAATTTTAGTCTAGCATTGTTGCTAGTTTTGTTTCAAACAGCTATAAAAGCCATGTGATGACTTCATTAAATCAAGTGATTGGTTGATGGCTTCATCCAGCAATCTATCCGATTAATACTTACCAGGGCTCCACTGGCTCCAAAGCCCATTGCTGGGTGGGCTCCAGAGTTAGAAGACAGGCACAAGTCTAGATCTGCCTTCCAGGATAGTTCCGCTACAAAAAATGGTCAGTCTTGTGAACAGTACTGTGAGAAAGGAAGCAGATACTGCCAAGTCCCAGGAATCCAGCAAATGATCCAGTGGCTACTCCCTGGTAGTAATCCATACACTGCTGAACATATGAATTAAAAGATGAATCCATTTATCCATCTATCCATCTGTCCTCAGGTGAAAAGTCAGAAATGCCCATCATAGCAAAAAATGCTGCCTGCATTCTGAAGTGACACTTCAACAGGAAGGAGAGTTTGGGACAGTGGAGCCAACATCTCAGGGAGAACTTGGCAGAGATCAAGGATGTGATGCTTGGCTTCCTGGCATGTTAGCTTTGCAGTTACTTAGATTTTGGTGCTGTGAATGCTGTCTTGAAATGTTCATTCTTTTTCAACAAAGGACACATGGTTTTCACTTTTCACTGACCCATGCAAATGAGGCAGGCAAGCCCTTAAATATGAACTCAAGTAAAATCACACCTGGTTCCATCTCAGAGTGTGGCTGACGTTTCAGAGTCCATTGATCCCCTTCTGTACACGTCTTCTGTTTCTATCGCTGCCACGTTTAGTCTTACTTCCCCTCACATTTCTTCAGTATTGACTTTTAATGTGTGGTTCTCTTGCTGCTACAGTCTGAGTGTTTTGTCCCCTCAAGATCCATAACTCCCAAGGTGACAGGATGTGAGGGATTTAGAGAGGTGGCTAGGTCCTGAAGATCCAAGAATGGGATTCATGCCCTTACAAAGAGATCCCAGTGAGCTCCTCTGCTCCCACCTCTTTGCAAGACACGGAGCAGCACTATGAGATAGAGAGCCCTCAGCAGACACCAAATCTGCCACACTTTGATCTCAGGCTTCCAGCCTCCAGACCGTGAGGAATCTATCAGTGTCTGTTATTTAAGGTCCCCGGTCTATGGTGTTTCGCTATAGCAGCCTGAACAGAACAAGCCGCTCATCTAATTCCAAAATCAAAATGTAATGCTGACAGAGCCATAAAGCCACAACTTCCCTTCTCCTAAAATCTTTTGGAGCTGTTTTTCAGGTCTCAGGAGCAGAACTCTAGGACCTGACCTGAAATGAGCTTGAGAGTCTTGTGTTCCACATCCAAGAATGGAACCTGAGAGAGAACAGGGTCTTACAGACCTAGATGAGAAGCAAGAGAGCTGTCAACAACTGTAGGATGGCCCAGAATTATCCACAAGTTCCACCTGAGCTGGCCAACTCAGCGTAGTCTACTTCACAGAAACTCCCAGCTACAAACAACCAGTGCTCCATTTCCCCTTACGCTGGGCTGGCTGCTTTAATCCCTTCCCAGATCTGAGTGTGCTTCCTGCCTCCCTGTGGGTTGGCCTTCAATAAGGCTCTTTGTGTTAATAGCTGGTGCCATGGTGTTGGCTTCTATGGGCACTGGGCAGTGAAACCTCGCTTGGTATGGATGTTGGGCCAACAGTGAAATGGAGGACAGAACCCTCAGAAGTCCACTAAGGCAGAGGGCAAAGCTGTCTCTGGTTTCTATAGAAAGGCGCTGGCCACATTTCCTTAGAGGGTTAATATAATTAAGGAAGGTATTAGAAATAGGCTGCTTCGTGTTGGAAGGAAACCTGGTAAGTAGGGCTCAGAGCCTCCTGAGTGTTCGATCACTTGAAGAACAGAAGGCAGATGAGCCATCTGGCCTTTTTCCTTGAGCTGGTTTGCAGGACTTGCCTTCCCTCCCACCTCCCACCAAGACTTCCAGCCAAGGCGTGCACGAGCTGTGTGTCCTGTCTGTGGAGGTGCAGACGGCGCTGTGGCCATGAGCACATCCAAGCTTGCAGGTGACATCTTCCAGGGAGCAAAGCAGCCCTGGGTCATGATGGTCCCAAGTGGAGCGTTTCAGCAGGGATGGCACTTAGACGCCAGGATGGGCTGGGCTGGGAGAAGTTTTTCACAGCCATTGTGCAGAGGTTGAGTTATTTTGGGTTGAACTGTATTGGCCTCCACCTTCAACCCCTGCAAAGATGTTTAAGTCCCAACCCCCAGTGCCTGTGAGTGTGACCTTATTTGGAAATAGGGTCTTTGCAGATTATTCAGTTAAGAGGATGTTGGGGGGAGGGTAATTCAATATAACTGGTGTCCTAATCAAAAAGGGGAAAGATGAGTATGAAGACAGACATGCACATGTTACACTGCCACAAGCCAAAGAACTACCAGGCCTGAGGAGAGAAACCTGGAACAGATCCTTCCCGGGAACCTTCAGAGGGAGCCCGGCCCTGATGACATATTCACCTTGGACTTTTGGCCTCCATCTGCGGCACTTAGTTACGGCCACCCTGGCAGGCTAATATGGTGAGCAAAGGTCAAGTTCAGAACATCTCCACAACATGCTCCTCTTGAGACAATTCACATAGAAGCAGCACACAGTACAGGGCTTTCTGTGAGCCAGTTCGGGGGGACTTTGATCTCCATGCTGTTGTCACCCTGCTCCATGGCATCACTTACAGAAGTCACAGGAGATGAACTTTCCCCAAAAAAGTTTTGGAAACAAAGCATGGTAAAAGTATGCAATGTTCAGGACTGAGGTGAGATGGGCAAATTCAGGGAAGAAATGGGGAACAAGAAAAGTTGGAAAAGGGACATTTTCATTTGACATTTGCTTTCATATCTGCTTAGAGCACTGACCCATGGCTACATGCATATGCGGCAATTGTAAGGGCAACTGCAAAGACAGGAGTGGGTAAGAGCTGAAAGGACCCAAAGGATATCAAAGGAAAGGGGGCCTCAAATAGTGGTCCCTGCACCTGCAGCATCAGCATCTCCTGGGAGCTCCCCACAAGGCAAATTTTCAGCAGTCCCGGGCCTACAGGACCAGAACTCTGGGCTAGGGCACAGCCATCTGCTTCAATAAGACTTCCAGGGATTCTGATCTACAGGGAAGATGGAGAAGCACCTTGCTAAGGAAACCAAAAAGGGAGAGGAAGGGAAGGGCGGCATGATCCCAAATGATGCTCTAATGCAAAAATTTGACTGAACAACGTCAAATCATTCTGCAAAAGCGCATTTGAATCAAAACGATTACATGTTGCGTTTTAACTGAAAGCACATAAACAGCATTTGGTGATCTTTCCCTGTCAGCCAAGGCCACTTGCTTTTCTGGGTGCTGTGGGGCCACAGTGCTACTCTGTCCTTACATGAACCACATCCATGGTGCTCTATCTGCAATGCCAGCTCATTTCTTAACCGTAAATTTAAGGAACTACAAAGCAGTAAAAAAGAATTACTTTGGATTTGTAAAATATTTTCCCAGCCCCTTCTGAACCATTCCTTACTATTTATAGACTTGGCTTCTACATTTACATTGCTACATTTTAGGTCAGGAAGCACAGGAGCTTAATTGTCATCTTTATTTTTGTTAAGTGAGATTTGCATACAAAGTAAACCAAATGGCACTTTCTCACACTTCTAGTTTTTAATGGATCCCCTTCAGTGATTTTAAATACATCAGTATGCTTAATGAGCCCCATAATCTATACCTGGTCATACTTAAAACTGACCCAAATCAGGAATGGTGCCTGCTGTTAGACTTCTAAAAAGATTTTTCTTCGGGGAGTAGGATCAGGGGACTGTATTCTATGAAGTGTCTCAGCACTTGCCTTTCGACGCCGACGCGTGCCCCGGACTCTCACTTTACTCCCGCCGATCACGTGAGGACAGCTGATGGTTACTAAACTTTACCCACCTGCCGGGTCAGTCCTACATGCTCTCAGGCTTGCCCCACCGTAACTGCACAACTCGGGCAGGTGTCAAGGGTCCTCACTTTACAGCTGTGAAACCAGAGGCCCGGAGACACTGGGATCACACAGCAAGTAAAAATGCTAAACAAGCCATCTGCCTTCAGCAGTTTTCCTTTCTCTCCCTCGCTCTATTTCTTTCCATTTGCAGTCCTAGTGATTGAACCCAGAGCCTTGCATATGCTTGGGAAACACTCTCCCATGGAGCTACACCCCAGCACAGGACATGTCTTCTAAACCATGCGTTCCAACAGTCACTGCAGTCACTGCAGGGTGCTCACATGAGCAGTAACTCTGGTAGGCGATGGGCCATACTGGCGACTCAGTAAAAACAATGGTAACAAGATATGCTCAAAACTATCTGTGTGGCTGAGCACAGGTGGCCGAGCTACCTGCGAAGCTGAGGCAAGAGAATCTCAAGTTCAAAGTCAGCCTGGGCAACTTAAAACCATCCCCCCCAAAAAAGGAAAGAAAGAAAAGAAAGAAATAAGCTGGGAATGTAGCACAGTGGTAGAGCACCCCTAAGATTGGTTCTGCAATAGTGGGGGAAAAGAACCACACTTACATGAACTTGCAGCTGCTCCCAGGATTACCCTAATGTGATTTCTGAAGTGGAACTGTATCAACACTTCTGTTTCATTTACAGACTGTCTTCCAAAAGACTGGCTTCCCTGCAAGTTGGGGACATGCCTTTCACAATTCTGCATTCCCCATATGACGCTGAGTTTTCACAAATGTTAACTTGTGAATTCACAGAAATACTAAATGTCGATGTGCAACCCCAGCTGGAACCTCCCTTTATCCGCTAATAGCCTGATGTGTAGTAAGATCTTCTGATTCTGAACAGAGCTAGTTCCGCAGACAAAAGACTTCAGATGAAAAGTTGCGCATGAGAACTCCTATCAGAGCAGAGAAGTCCTGATCCCCATGCGGGATCAGACACAAAGCAGCTCTGAGTACCCAGTAGGCTATAGTCCTGGCAATGGTGAGGGCTGTATACCACTGCTGCCCTTGTTGTCGAGTTTGCTGGACAGTTTACTTTCAACAATGTCTCAAAACATACCATAGCCCTGTAACTGGGGTGAATCCTTGCATGAGGCTTGGCCCTCAGTTCCCAGTTACAATGCATCATTTCTCATAATGCCTTATCCTATACTCGATCAATAGCATTTAGAACCAGAAAAGGCCAACAGTAACTGTTTGTTGGTATAGTTTAAAAATATGTGATGAACAGACGAGAAAATGGCTGCCTCAAATTGGGTGACTATAGATTACAGCCTGAAGAAACGATTGCTCAGAAAGTTACTCTGAAAAGATTTTTAAAACTCGTTAACTATTAGCTTTATTTAAAAATATATAAATATTCTGACATGTACAACTTAAGGTTGTTGCATTTTGGAACTTCCACACAGAACTGATACAACAGAGAAATCCACACCAAGTCAATCACTCAGACTGCCAATTCCATCCATTAATTTAACACTAAGTATTCAGGACAAATGAAAGATTTAATATCATCAACACTGAAGAAAAACCAGTCATTTGTAACATGCTGCTATAAATAGAACCAGTCCATGGGTTACTGAAACAAAGAATTCCAACAGCAAATTTAGAGAGTCCCTAAAACAAACAAAAAAATCCAGACACTGAATTGATGCAAATACTCTACATCTGAGAAAAAAATTCTCTTCTTGTGAATTTTAACACAGCCAAATATAATCACGTATTAGAGAGGGATCAGTACTGGCGCTGTGACTTAAGCCAGGCTCTCAGGGTTTGGATTAGGCCGACTGGAAAGCTCCCAGCCTGGGAAGGAATGGGACTCGAATTTGGGACGACTTGTCAAAAGCCAGGGACAATGGGGATACCTGCTTTTGGGGAAGCAGACTTACAAATTAGAATTATAGGAATTCCTAAAAGGAAAAACTTAAAAAGTTAAAATATGTATTCCAAAATATATGCATTATCACTTCATGGTGAGTTGAAATTTCTGTAACAAGGTCCAGTCTGAAAAATTCATACAAATGGGAATTTGGAGAGCTAAGACATGCTTATTCTTGCTGAATACTTTTCCAGGGTATATTTTTGCAATTTGTTCCTACTAAATTGTAGGAACTTTAGAAATGCAGGGGAATTTTTAAAAAAGCATAACTAGGTCTTATTTCTAAGTTTTAGTTAAAATATTTGTCCAGGTAAAAGCTCCTGAACATTGCACTTTCAGGTTTTACATCTCATTTCTGAAAAAACAAGACAACTCTCAATACTTTTCAAAAGCTCTTTTACAGAGGTAAGACTTTTTTAGATGAACTACACAGGCAACAGTGCAGTTAAAGGAAAATCCAAGGGACTGCTTCCCACTTAAATGAAGGGGGAGGAAAGCTTAAAATGGTCTGCTATAAACCACTAGGCAAAATGTGACTCAAAGGTTAATGGAGCATGGTATCCCTCGCCAAGTGAAGGATGAAGTGTGACTGCCCACTTGAAGTGCATGCTCCTTACATCATGAGTGGAATTCAGTTTAGGGGAAATAGTTTAATGTACCTCTCAGGAAAGAAAAAAGTTTATGCTTTTCCATCACAAACAAAACAGTGGTTACGAAGTCCAGCGCCACCAAGCGACCTTCATCCTGTCCCATACAGCTGAAAGTGAATCTAAGGCAGGACGCACATCCAGGATGGTGAACTGGTAGTCCCTGTTCACTTCGCCACTGTCATAGTAATCAATCACGTATCTAACTTCTGTCCCGCAGCGGTTGATGATCCAATCGTGCCTGTCAAAAGGCAACTCGTACCTAGAAGGAGAGCATGCTGGTGAGTGCTGAAGGCTGCCGGTGCACTGGGTCCTGGTTTAAGCAGTAGGAAAGACTGAGAAGCAGAACCTGCCTGCTGCCAGTACAGACCAGCTAACCAGGAAGGTGAGACCTGGAGAGTCCCATCTGCAGCGCTAGGGGAACATGGCGCTGAAGAATCGTGGAGTCCAGGTCAGGTGACAGCTCCTTTGTCTACAAAGGAATAATGTCCATGGGAAAGGGACCCCAGGCAAGAAGGTCAGCTGAGCCTGCAGTGGTGCAACCATGTGCTAAGAATCTGAGCTGCACCAGAAGAGAGGTGGGCAGGGCTGAGTGGATGGACCCAAAGATCACGAGAGGAGTAAGAGGAAGGATCCAAGAATATAGAACTCAGTTCAGTCCTTCAATAGTATACTAGCTGCTGTAAACTAACAAATCAGCCCAGTCAATGAGCAAACCTTAAGGAGAAGAAATCTGCAGCTGAATACTGAGGTTTAGAAGACAGGGCAGCAGTTCTTTGATTCTTTGGTTTCGTTGCTAAGAGAAAGTTGGCCTTGCCCCAAGGAACATAAAATAACATTTCTGCAGACACTTACCCCATCCAGGAACGAATTCTTGCCCTTGGTGAATACTGCTTTGCCTTCCCTCCAAATCGGATCAATGATGGACCACAAGGACACTCCCTAGGAAAGCCCCAAATAAGTCTATTAAACATTTTCTTTCCTGTGACAAAGATGATCTTCCAGTTTTTCGGAAATACACACTTTTTGGTATGAGTTTTAGATAACATCACATTTATAGAGAATGGTAAGTGCAAAAGCACTTCAAAGACATTGTCTGTATTTGTTGAGAACATTCCTCTTCGCTTCTGGATCAGGTACATTTCAACCCCACCCCTTCCCTCCAGACATCTGCACCACTACTCCACACCAGCCACTCCACACCAGCCAGGAACCAGGGCCTTTCTACATGGAGCAGGGGAAAGGCGCACTCTCAGAAAGAACTTCTCTTTTATGTAGGGCCACTGTGCTTTTTGTCAGGCAAACACAAGAAACTCCTATATAGTCAGTCCTCTGCATTTGTGGGCTCCAGATTAAACATATTTGGGGAAAAAACCCTGCACCTATACTAAACATATATAGGCTTTTATTCTGTATACATATTGTAAGTAATGTAGAGATGGCTTAAAGTATGCAGGAGGACATACAAAGGTTATATGCAAACGATAAACCATTTTATGTAAGGAACTTGAGCATCCACAGATTTTGGTATCTGGGAATCTTGGAAAGAATCCTCCATGGATACTGTGGGACAACTGTACTTTTTATTTCACTTCAAACCAATTAACAGCTTTTATAAACAAAGAAAAATGATGGATGAATGCCTAGGACCTAGTTGTAATCAGTGTTAGACCTACTCCTTCGGTAAAGAGCTATACTGTAAGATGGGGGGTGGCAGAATGCTACTACAGAGTCCACGTACACTGCCCACAGACCCTCGCTAAGGGCTCCTGAGCGCCCGACCCTCTGCGTGCCCTGGGATACTGGGCCTCATGAAGGGCACAGTCCAACCACATGAGAGTCATGGAGCTGCTGCCCCAATGGAGCGGGGAGGCAGTCGAGAGACAAGACCACCCATCCTGTTAGCTACCCCCGTAACAAGACAGGGTCTGGTCCTTATGTGTCTCTGTGAGTTTGAGAGAGGGCTCTGTTTTGCCCTATTTAAGGTCCATGTGAGCCACTGACTTCTCCATTTAGAACTTGCTCCCTACTATCTCCTCTCAAGAGGATGTCACAGGCAAAGAAATAAACCCCATCTAGGCAGACTTTCTCCTAGACACCTTCGAGTAGCTTTTGTAACACGTTCCTGATGGCCTGAACCATGGGTGGCACATGCATGACTGTGCCATTGGGCAGCTCATACCTCCCGATGGGACTGTCCCATGGTGCCTGATGGGACAGTTATGCATGTACCACCACTGGTTGAGAGCTGCCCAGCAGCCAGACACAGGAATTAGGGGCCGTTGTGAAGGTGTTAAGGGCCTATCCAATTCTTCCTGAACTCTGGAAGATGACTGGGGAGGGAGCTGAAACTAACAAACTGAACTGCCCCTTTGCTCCTGCCCCATAATCACACAGTAAGGAAGCAGCAAGTGGCTTTAAAAAGAGCACACTTTCACCCGTGGTTACTGTGCACCATGTGCGGCAAGCCGGAAGGGCACTCCTGCAGGACACAGGTCATTGATGGAAACACGGTTGCAATGTTAGTCCCTCTTCCTGTGCACCAACCTCAGGCCGGGGCCCTGGCCAGTGACAGCCAGGAAGCGCTTATGAACCATACTGAATATTAAAATATTAAAAACAAAGTGAACACCTTAGAAAAAAAAAATCAGTCACAGGATTGTAGCCAAGAAACATTTCTCATCATTTTCCCTTTCCCTTCTTTCCTTTCCCCTGCCCCTGCCCCTCCCACTACCCCTACCCCTTTGGACCTTTTCTTCCTATTTTGCATTATCGATTATTCATTCTAATCATTGGTACATTTTAGGTATACAATATAATGACATTCATCATTGGAAATTTGCACCTTTACATAGTCTCTCTTGGTTTTCATTTTTCACCCTTGCCCAGCCCTCCCTTCAACCCCTCCATTCCTCCCTATTTACAAAGATTTTGTTCCCATTTTTCCAGAAATGGAAAAAATGGAAATAAAGTCTTTGTAAATAGGGAAGGGTGGAGGGGGGGGTAAGGGAGGGCTAGGAATGGGGAAAAAATAAGAACCAAGATGCATTATGTAAAGGTACAATTCCCAAGGAGAAATGTAATTGTGTTGTATACCTACAATGTACCAATAAAAGAATTTAATAAAAAAACAAAACAAAACAAAACAAATGAGTCACATTCTGTAAGGAATCTGCCCTGTGAAGAAGCAACAGCAATATGATGTGGTTCTCTGTGCAGACATGGCCCACTCCTACACCTCTGCAAGCAGAGTCCTTGAAACAGCAGCATCAGACTCGACCGCTCTAGCAATGCCAAGTCTGGGCCCAGCCCACAGACTCAGTCAGACACCTGGAGGCTGGAGGCCACCACCCAGGCTTGGAACAAACCTAGGTGGAATCTCACGTGTGCCACCACACAGCTGTCTGCATTTCCCTCTTTCCCCTGAGTAAAAGGCCCCGTGTTAAGGCACCTCCTTGAGATTAGTCCTAAGGGGGATTCAACAAATGCTGCAGAAGAAATAAAACCACGTTTCCCATCTCCCTTGGTGCAGACAGCATTTGTTTAGTAGTTCCCTTCCCATGTGCTCTGCTTTCAATGGATGAAGATACTCCTCCCCGAATGAATTGGGGGCTTCTGAGGCTAGGCAAGCAAAGGAGTCTCAGCTTCTTCCTAGTGCTTCTCGAGACTCTACCTCCTGGAAGCCAGCCACCATGACGTGAGGAAATTGAAGCAGTCACATGTAGAGGCCATGAACAGGTGCTCTGGCAGATGGCCAGCACCACTTGCTGGACAGGCACTGGCTGAGCCTTCAGAGGCCTCTAGCCTATAGGTCTGAACCATCCCTGACCACTGAGTCAGCAGCTGAGGCCCCGGATGTCAGGGAGCATCTCTGGTCTGTCCCTTCTGCATTCTGGACCCACTGAGACCACAGCTGAATAAAACACTGGTTTTTTCTTAACCTAAGAAGGGGTAATATGTACCATAATAATTGTCACCAGAACATGCCTGCTACACAAATGTTTCATTCAAACACCAAATTATTTGTATAAAATGTTAAAACCCTAGAAAGTCAGTATGAAATAATAGATGCTCCAATTTGTTTTAAAGATCTCAAACATACTTACGCAGCATGAAGGGCTTCCCACTTCAAAATCTCCTTCCAGGCCTGTTCATTATTCTGATTGTGAATCTTAATGATATTACACATATCTTTCTGACTAATATCCTCATCCTTCCACTTCCACCTATAAAAGGAAATTTGGTAAAATTTAACTACTATTGACAATGTGAAAGAGTTAATCAATGTATTCACATGATGACTTATTAAACATCATAAAAGAATTAAGCATGCTCATTTTCTCTGAATTTAATGGGGCTAAGACTCATTTTCAAGATTTGCTCCTGACTGTGGAGTAATGCTATAAATCCAACATTGTTGCACCTATGTACACTGGAATCAAAGATTAAAGCTTTGCCTGAATCTCATGTCACTGAGTCTTCAAAAGCCAAACTTAGAGAACCAGCCATTTTTAAAGTGACGCTTTCTTGATTAGTAAGTCATCAACTTTTTCTAAGCATTTTATACAGGAGTAGTGTTTTCTTTGTAAAAATTATTACTGGCTATGATGAACAATTTTACATGTCAACCTGATGGGGTCATGAAGTGTCCAGACATGAGGTCAAACATTATTCTAGGACAGTGGTGGCAAACTTATGGCATAAGTGCCACAGCAGGCTGTTTGTATCACTGAAAGCTCTAAAAGGTTCACCATCACTGTTCTAGGGTATCAGTTAGGGTAATTTGAGTGAGATTAACACGTGAAGCAGCAGACTGAGTAAAACAGATTGCCCTACCCAATTGGGCGAGCCACATCCACTCAGCCATGGGCCTACAAGTAACAAAAGACTGCTTGAGAGCTGGGGATCTAGCTCAGTGGTTCCGCCGCCTGGCCTGCCTCACAAGCGCAAGGACCAGGGTTCGATCCTCGGTACCAAAAAAAAAAAAAAAAGACTGCTTGAGCTGGGACACGAGTCTTTTCCTGTGTTTGGACTTGCGTGAAAATGCTGGCTCCTCCTGAGTTTTGACCCTACCAGCTTCCAGACTGGAACTTACATTATTTGCTCTCCCAGTTCGTGGGCCTTTGAACTTGGACTAGAACTGGGTCTCTAACTTGCTGGCTGCAGATCTTAAGACTTTACAGCCTCCATAATCTGTTCTTTATAACTCTCCCTGCCTTCCCTGTCATACACATATTCACACATCCTGTTGGTTCTGTTTCTCCGAATACTGACCTTGTACTTATGTTCTGATGGGTCTGAACATCCACTGATTTCTCATAAAAAAAAAAACTTACGGTATGATTTGGGAGTAAAAATTACTTTAACATTTAACTCTTAGGCAAATCTGATGAGCAAATTTATACTCTAAATAATATGCTCACTCACCCTTTCCTTAACATCGCATTCCAGAACATCTGTTCGGAAGGATAAACCCACTTTTTCTCAGAATCTGCCCTTGGAATGGATGATTCTTCTCTGACGGTAGACAAAGCAAATGGCTGATCTGGGGCCGGTGTTTGATTAGGTGGTGGCATCTGAAGAAAACAAGCAATTTGTTTTTTAAATGCTAGAAATATGTACAAAGTAAAAACAGGTAATACAACTAAGAACTTCCTGGAAAGCAACTCATTTCGCACAAAGCCCAAGGTCCCCATTAAATGGGTGATATCAAAATTTCAAACCTCTGATATTTGGTTTTGAAGAGTCAGAACACTGAAGTTGTTTTTCCTAAGTTCATACACATGGCACATAAACTTTGTGGTTAGATTTTTGGTCTCTTTCCTTTGAACAAACTTAGAAGCAATGTCACCAAGGAAAAAGAAGTAAAAACAAATATGATGAACTGCAGGCATTTCTACAGACCTTTTTATGACAGGATTTTCAAAAACAACAATTTGCTCTTCACTCTTCTGAGATAGTCTCACAGTTGATATGTACAATGCTATTTTCTTTTTAAACACTCTACTTTTACGACCCTGATAATGCTTTCCCCCTTTCAGCTGAGCATGGGATAGATGGGCCTTTGGATTTCAACACTGCCAGAGCAGAAGGTGAGAAGAATCCCTTCTCCCTCACAGGGTCAGCAATGCCATTACACCAACATCTAGCCTAGGCCAGGGTCACTCATCCTCAGCACTGCTGCCTCTAGAGGCCAGACAACTTTCAGTTGTGGGAGTCAGTTCTGAACACTGTAGGTTGTTTAGTACCAGCCCTGGCCTCTACCCAGTGTGACCACTCCTCGCTGGTTGTGACAACCAAAAATGTCTGTAGACACAGCTGACTGTTCCCAGGGGGCAGGTTGGGAACCACTGGCCTGGAACTTCTTCTCCTATCAGCAGTATGAAGGATTTTCTAGCAGTTCCATATTAATAATGCAGAACCTCAGCCACCACATGGCCCCTCATTGGAATAATGACAGCAGGAGAACCCAGTGTAGGAAGCACTGCACTGCCTACCTTAATTCTCCCCGCAGGGTGTTTAAGGACACAGGGCTGAGGTAAGCACGGGTCAATTTTGGCTCTGCCAATACCTAGCTGAGTGATATGCGGCAAACTGCTCACCCTCTCACTCTCAGTATCTTCAGCTCTAAAGTGAGGGCACTAAAAATACTACACAAAGCTGCAATGAGGCTAATGGAGAGAATGTGTGGTGCTTAGCTAAATGCTACAGAAAACTCCAAAAGAAAAGTCAGCTGTCATTAATATTCTCATGATGTAAAATAAGCCCTTCGGGTAAGAGTGTGGATCTGTAGGATTCTAAAAAGTCCATGTTCTGAACCACTAGGCCATTAGAGATAATATAGATGAGTGGGCTCCTGGGGGCACAGCCGACAATGCCTAGAGACACCTTACGCCTACAATATACAGTACACGGCTCATCTTCAGAGACTGTGAAAACACTGTTTAAAATGTTCCAGAAAGAAGGGATAAGCATAGATTACCAGATTTGAAGGATCCAGGTTCTCCTTATTGGCCCTAGCAGCCAAAATGGGGCATTTGACGTATTCGTATGCTCGATCCTGGTGGGCAGGCACAGAGGATGTTTTGCTGTCACTGCTTGGACCAGATGGTTCCACACTTACTGGACAGCCTGAAATAATCAAGTTTAAAACAGTGTCATCAAGAAGGTATGACATCCGGTTCTCTGAATTGGGGCCCTAAAAAGGTGAAGGTCTGACTCCCACAGGAAAAACTGGGTTTCTTCTGTTTAAAGCTGGCAAAAACTAAGTCAGCCAACATTCAAAAATACTAAAGATGAGAAGGTTCGGTAAACTTACCTTCCCTTTCTCTGTGTCATATTTTCAGCAAAAATACACCAAAAAACCTTGGCAGATGCAAGAGTGTGCATGGCCCGTGCCATAGTGTTTGAAACAGGCAAGAAGGCTGCTCCCTGGGCAGTTGGGGAGAACTGTGAGAGAAACTGAAGTAGGGGCTGGGCCACATTTCACCATGTCTCCTTGACTTCTACTCAATATTTCCAGACAAGCTCAGGCCCAGGGAGGACACAGCTGCAGTCGAAGCAGCCCTTACTGATGCATTCTCTCAGGTACTGGGGACAGAAGAAAATGAGCAGAGGAGACTTCACAGGGACTCCTGGAGAAAAAGCTCAGTAGCACTCTGCTTGTGTTTTACTCCAAAACTAAAACAAGGTGCAGGAAAGTCCTACTTGGGCGAGGGTGCTATTCCTTATCAGTAGACAGCAAGAGTTTAGCAAGAAAAGGCAGACATTAAAGAAAATGACCAATAACCCAAGTAGAACTCAGATGCTTCTAAAGGGGAAGGTTTGAGCTTAATGAGCAGGACACCAGAAAGGGGAATCAATGCCCAAGGATCCAGGGTGCTGATCCAGGCAAGTGTGAGGACTAAGAAGCCAGTCTTAAAGTTGGGGAGAGAAGATAGGAAGTTGGAGAACTGTGGCCCAGGACAGCAGCTGCTCTGTAATAAAATCTCTGTTGTCTTAGTTACTTTTCTCATTGCTGAGGTATAATACCTGATACTCAAAATTAAAGAAGGAAAGGTTTATCTGGCTTACAGTTTGTAGAGGTTTCAGTTCATAGTTTGCTGGCTCCAAGGCAGGGTGGTGTGGCAGGGAAGAAATAGTTCATGGTGTGCAGAAGGCAGCAAAGCAGCAAAGTATTGAGAAAGCAGCAGCAGCCAGCCTGCCTTCTTTCTGTCCTTTTATATCCACCCAAGATACACATCCTTAGAATGGGTAGCACTCACACCCAGGATGGGCCTTTCCATTGTCCACACCCAGAACTGTGCCAAACCAATCAGTGGACTAATTTAGTAATCACACACCATTAATCCCAGCGTCACACACCTTAGATCCAGCCACCTCTGAAAAACCCCACCTATAACTCCATAAGGCTTTGGGGGGACATCTAGACACAGCCATAACACCTGCCTTAGGTAGGAGCAGGAACTATGGAATATACTGAAGGCTGGATACTAGACACAGAAAAGATGAGTTTCCTTTTTTTTTCTTCCTTATTCTCTCTTTCTAGGCCCTTATTCCCTAGTACCCACTTTCGGCATAAAGGCCTAAAGCTATACCTTCCCTCCCTACCATTCAAAACATCAATTCTTTGTGAGGCACTGAGCCCAACTGGGTGTTAGAAAGAAAATAAGTGTTACATTTTTCACATTATATAAGCAATAGCCCCTCTGATCTCCTATAAATACTTTCATTCTTTACTAATGCCAATAAACCAGAATGACAACTCTCGAGATAGTAAATGAAATAAAAGCAAAAGAAGATTCTCTGAACTCTTTGGGGATGGACACTCAAGAGCGGGAGCACACCTGTTTTGTTTGATCTGTCTCAATTCCCGGAAGAAATGCCAGAAGAGTACTGCACCTGTCCTTGTACAAGGTCACAGAATTTTCATTGGCTCTGCCACTTATTACTGTGTGACTTGGAGCATATCAGTTAGTAACTCTGACCTTTAGTTTCACTAACTATAAAACAGGGAGAAAATCTGCCACACAGGATTATGAAGGTTTAGAATGTAAGCGCCATTAAATAAAGGATTTTTGTCTATCCTGTTCCATGCTACTCTCTTAGTGCAGAAATAAACAAAACCCAGCAGTGTGCGGCACAGAATGGACAGACCTGGCTGGCCCAGGGAGTAAATGAGTATACCGCTAGCAACAACACTCAGTAAGCACACCATGTCACCTCTGCCCCTCATTTCTTACTGATTCAAGCCAAACATTATGAACAACGCACAACAGACCTGCACCAATTAAAAGCAAAAGACACCTTTTTCATTTTCACTCTTGCACTGAAAGAATGGACAAGTCCACCTGGTAACAGCTTATTTTCATATAGAAGAGTACTGTAACTGATATAGGAGTAGAGTTTATTTACTAAAATAGCTAGATCTAGGCCAAGGTTTCTCAACCCTGGCATTCTTGATAACAGGGCCAGATGAATTTTGTCAGCGGGTGGTCCTATGCATTGTAGGATGTTTAGTGACATCCCTGGTCCCCAACCACTAGATGCCCAGAGTACCTTTCCTCTCTGTTGTGACAAGTGAAAGTCTCCCAACATGAGATGTTTCCTGGTGAATGGAGTTCCACTCCCCTCATTATTAGTTAAGAATCACTGATATAGTTACACAGGTAAACTTTAGGGAGCCGGGCTGATTTTATGGAGCAATCATTATACTCTCATTCATCAACACAATTAATCATCCTAACTGTGAAATAATCTAGTGCCCCTCTTGCAGCCCTATGAGCCTCACCTATACTCTTCTTTCTTCAGGACCTTCTGAGAATTATCTTTTGTTTTAATTATCTTAACAAAGGATCAATTACCTTGAGTGCTCCTTCTATGCATTGGGCATCTTGAAGGTGGAGATGCTGTCTGATGATCTGAAACATCTGAGGTCTGAACTGCAACAGCAGGAGTAGATGGTGACAAACCCATGGCCGAAATCAAAGTGTTGACTCTAAACAATTTTAAATGTCCAGCTGCCAAAAGAATGAGACAAATTAAAGCTGATACCTACAAACAGACTATTCCCTTGTTACTCAATCTGGCTAACCCTTCTTCCTCTCTGTCATCCCTTGGGAACCTACCAGGGCAAGATATTCACTTTAAAACACAGCTCTAAATACCCTGACCCCTTTGGGAAATCCTTTGAAATCTATGCCACCCTCTGGGGACACGTTTCTAAGAGTGGGAATTTGGCGGTTGAAGCGAGGCGGGGTTTGGGAATCCACTTCACAGTGTGGTGGCGGTGGGGTGTTGGAGGTGGATGGTGATGCGGAAGGGGAGGAGAGGCATATGACCCAATACTCGACCTTCAGTCCCAGGTCGGAAATGGGACTTCGAGGAAGGAAGGGAGGAAAGGGTAGTAACCTGCTGGGCGCTGCCAGACCTCCCCCCACCACGCCCGCGCGCCCCACCTGGGGCAGCCCGCCGTCCTCAGACCTCACCGGTCACTGCCGGCACTACCTTCTGCACCTGAGTACTCCCTAGGGTTGCCCTAGGCCGCCGGCTCCGCCTCTAACCGCCAGCCAGGGTACAGAGGATAAGGGCCAGCCGCCCTCACCGCTGCCTTCTTCCCACTGGGTCAACGATGTCGCTGCGGTCAACGCCGGCGTTCCAGCGCTCCCTTCCTTCCTTTTCCGAAGGCGGGACTTCCGGGTGCGAGGAGGCGGGCCTCAGGCCCAAGGGAAGGGGGTTCCGTCACTCACAGAAACAGGTCCCGCCCCCTCCGCGTCTTGGCCTATCACCACGTGGGTCCGCTCTGCGGCCCCGCCTCTCATGGCTGGGCGCCTTTTTCGACTTGACAGGGCTCCGTCGGGTCCAGAGGCTTCCCTAGAAAGATCTCTACTATACATGCTTCAAGCGGCTGACGAAGTGCTTTGGAAGAATTTTTAAATTTCTGCTTTTTAAAAATGTTATCCCGGGCCGGGGATTTAGCTCAGTGGTTTCGCCGCCTGCTGCGCAAGTGCAAGGACCCGAATTCGAACCCCGGTACCAAAAAAAACACAAAACTGTTATCCCATCAGGTATTTTAATTTTTTAATTGGCATATATAATATTTGTATTTATTTATAAGGTACAGTGCTATAATTCAATACATGTAGACTACGTGCAGTGATGAATGAAGTCCTAGCAATGATTCAAGCAACATCAGTAGGTGTCCAGAACTGTGGCTGGCCCTGGAGATGTAAAAATATAAAGACAGGATTCTGCCTCCAAGGCCGCCTTGACTGGGTGTGTGAACTTGGATGTCTGTATTTTCTTTTACCTTCAACAGAAACTTAGCCTTTGCTTCCATCAGGAATGTAGGCGACAGATTCTGTGGGTGGGGAATGTGGATGCACCAAGGTTGATCACAAAAGCATAGGGAGAAGGAAAATCCGTGGCCAAGAGACTTTACTATGGTTTCTGTGGAAAGGAACAGGTGAGACAGGGTAATAAGTTTAAGACTGGCTAGCTAATCTGAATAACTTCAGCCAGCCCTGGGGTACAGGGGCTGTTTCCAGCAGTCTGGTACCTGGCCATGCAGTGATTAGGGCAGGTATATATGCAGTGGCTCGCAGTATGAGGAGGTGGTTGGGGGTATGGACTTAATCAGCTGCCCAGGAAGGGGAACTGGTTGCTCTCTAGCCAGGGCCTTGAAATTGGATCAAGACAACATTTTAGGAAACTATATTATACCAATACATACTGTATTTCCTGGGGAACCTGGCCTATAGCAATCACACATCTGTTTTATTTTAGTATGTTCATAACTTCATATCTCAATGCAATTGGATTCTTGTGTCATTCCTTGAATTTTGTTGTATGCAGGTTAAAAACTATTATGAAAATACTTTCATAGATTTTACCAAACTCTTGAAGGGTCTGTGGCACAAAGAAGGGCAAAAACCCTTGCTAAGGATAAAGACAGATGTACAAAGAAATAACCATATTTATTTCTCGATATATGTATGTGCAGACTCTTCTGGGGCAGAAGGAAGTGGCCCTTGTAAGAGTGATGGTCAGGGAGTGGAAGAAAAGGGAAGAGTATGTGCCAGCAACGTTTTGTACTGGAAGAAATACCAAAGCCAAGTGTTAAATAAAGAATTGTATGTGGGCAAGAAAACTATGGTGGAGACTCCTTCACGTCCAATTCCCACTCTCTGGAGGCAAAGACTTACTGCTTTTCAACTATTCTGCTTTGTAGCTCTGCATTTCAAACAAAGAGCATGCTAATATTGATGTATACATCAACACACACATACTCCAGTTGGGGATTATCAGTTAATATCCATCGCTGAGGATGGTTAACAATGGAATTTTGTTGCTTTCTGTCTCACCCCTTATTCCTCCTGACATGAGTACACACAGAAACATATATTTTTCTCCTCTCTCCCATGCCAATAGTTATATACAATTTTGGATAAATCAGGATTTAGTATTTATGTTATTAGGACTAGGAAAATGTTATTCATGGCTAAGTCTTAAATGACTAGTGATAGATTTTCTTTCTTATAAAAATTTTTGTTAGAATGTAATACTTGCCTTGCTTTTTTCTTATTGTCTAATTTGTAGATGAATGTCCCTAAATTTCCTGTCAGCATTATAAATCTCCACGATGCACTCAAATATATCAGCTACTCTGTAGGTTTCATTTTTCTCTTGAGACTTCTGTCCTAGGTAAGTACTATATCCCGGCCACTTCCCAATTCCACACTCGTTTGCTCTGGATTTCTGCCAGTTGTCTTCCTGGGATGCCCTTCTGTGTTTTGCTATCATGTGTTGGATCTGTGGTTCCTGGATGTCATGTATTCTTTGCATTTTGTGGGGAGCACATTAGCTTTAAGATCTTGAAAATCCAAAAATGCCTGTATTTTACCTCCCTGCTTGCTTGGTAATTGCGTGTATAATTTGAGGTCTGGAAAACACAGCCTTCAGAATTGTAAAGGAGCTACTTTATTGTCTTCTAGTTTCCATTTAGCTGTTAAGAAGTCAAATGTCATTTTTTTTCTTCTTCAGTATTTTAAACATCTTCTCTTTCTTCCAAGTGACCTGAAAAGATGTACCTTGATCTGGGCCTCTTTGCTTTCATTCATTTGGTACTAGATAAGTCCGTTCAATCCGGAAATCCATATTCTTCACGTTGAGGATACCTCCTCTTCTCCTTCTCTGATTTACTCCTATTTTTTTTTTAGCTCTTTGCTACTCATACGGTGGATTCCCTAGACTGACAACCTAATTTTCTCATATGTTTTTATCTCTTTTTATATTTTGCTTTATTTTTAGGAAATTAAAAAAATTCCCAACCACTGTATCACATTTTCAAATTCCAAGATGCATTTGTATATATTTATGTGTACAGAAGTCCTCCCTTGTATGTGCAGCATGTTTTGAGACCCCCTGAAACTGGATAGTACCAAATCTTACACACACTATATTTTCCTTATACGTGCTTCATTTTATGGCACTGCTTCTCAACTAGGGTTGATTTTGCTGCCCCCATCCAGGTGGTATTTGGCAATATTTGGAGCCATTTTTGACTGTCATCCTGGCACTACAGGTTGCTACTAGCACCAAGCAGGAAAAAGCCAAGGGTACTGCCTAATATCCTACAACACATGGGAAAACTCTTGCCACAAAGAATTAACTAGGTCTAATGTCAGTGATGTCAAAGTGGAAAAACTATTCTGGGAAAACCAAAGGCCAAAATTTCTTCCCCTTGATACCTAGCAGCTAAAGCATAAACTCTTACCTCCTCAGCTTAGCTGTGTGTATGCGTGTGCGCGCGCGCTAAGTCATGAGAGTAGGACTGATTTAACTTACTACTCCTTTCTGCACCAAACAACATAGTTATTATGGTTTAGATGTAGATGTCCCCCAAAAGTCTCATGTTCAGAGGTGGGGCTTTTAAAAGGTGATTGGGATCATGGAGGCGCTATACTCAGTAGTTGAATCCACTGATAAATCCATAGCTGACTGCGCTGTTAGGAGGTGGGGCCTGGGAAGAAGAGTCAGTTTACTGGGGGAATGACTTGGAAGGGTTTATCTCTCTCCCCAATTCCTCCCTTCTCTCTGCTTCTTGAGCATCTTTCTTTGTTTTTTGTTTGTTTGTTTGTTTGTTTTTTCAGTACCAGGGATCGAACTCGGGACCTTGCACTTCTGAGGCAGGTGCCGGAACCACTGAGCTATATCCCCGGCCCTATCTTGAGCATCTGTCTTCTTCCACACCCTTCCACCGTTCCCTTCCTGCATTGGAGCCCACTGACTGAATCTTCTAAAAATTATGAGCCAAAATAAAGCCCCTCTCCCTTAAGTCTTTGAGTGTCAGATATTTTGTTCCAGTGATGAGGAAAGTGACTAACACGGTCATTTTGAAGTTGAAATGGGGAAACATACTATGATACAGTAATAAAATTATATTTTATTGTTAGAGTTATTATCATTAAGTTGGTGACTCAGTTGTTGCCACAAGTGGGCCTTTATGGGTGACTGAATTGAATATGATTGGTTTAAAAAAATGGGGGCAACACTGATAAGAATTAGTGATATGAGCAGTATTGCTCTGGAAAGAAGTCTGTAGAGCCAAGGGAGTCTCACACTGTCATGTGTGAGAAACAGTCATAGAGTATTACCTAAAGGAGTAGGGATTTGATCTTTTCTTCCTTGTAGAAATAGCAGTGTATGTGGTTTGCTAATGCATACAGGTGTTAAAGAGAAATGGGGTAATCCTGGGGTTGTGCTAGTGACATTTTCAGTGGGTATTGGATTTGCCTGTCATTTTTTAAAGCACGAAGTGCAACTGAGAACCTTCCAACATTATTATTCTTTTGAAGAGAAGAAACATGGTGGACTATAGCTGCATGAAATTATCATTATAGTGAGAAAGCTAAGGTCAGTAAGTGAGAGGAAAGGAGTAAAAGAAATGACTGCTGATTTGAGAAATATGTAGGTTTAGGGGCAAGATGAGTTTAGTGTTGGAAGCTAATAAACTAGTTGTCTAGGCTGAGTAATTTAAGATACAGTACAGAAACAAAATTGGAATGGAAGAAAGATCTGGTTGCAGATAAGGAAATATAAGTCATCAGATCTGGTTAGATGTTAAAGCTACAAGAATGTATGGTATCATCCTTCAAGGCACTTGCTTTTCTTTGCTCTCGTTCCCAGGTTACCAAGAACCTTTTGACACTAGTGTGATTTCCCTACTAGGAAGAGTATGTTTGACTAGCCAACCTAAATATATTCCTTTCTCTTTGGTGGTTCTATTTCTTACTGTAAGCACTGTAAATTAGTAAATTGGAAAGAAGAGAAGTAAAAGTGGAAGGAAAATCGAGAAGGTGAGGTATAAATGGCTATAAAGGAAAGAAGGGAAGGCTTTCTTGAGTGGTTTGGACTCACTCTAAAGTGGGCTTGAAGAATTAAAGCCACAAAAGACAAGTTGACAAACCATTCTCTACCACTACCACATGAAAGCAGTTTTCTAAGAAATGTGCTTTACAGGATATTGAAATTCATATTTTAATTCTTGAATCCTAGTAGGTACAGATGTTTGTGATATTAGTCTATTGTGTGGCTTCCCTATGCAATAAAACTCAAAGATATACAGGCTTTAAGTGAATAGTTATTGATAAAAATACTTAAAAGCTATAATCAG